GAAAACACATTTTAGTAACGATTTCGCGAATGTTGTGCCAAAGCGAGGAAAATCGTGAATATCTACAACCTAGTTTTAGGGTCGCATGGGGATGGTTGTATTCGAGGGATGCCTGGAGTGGATTTAAACTCAAATCATGACTGCTTTCTAGTTACCCTTCTCCCCCCCCACCCCCCTTGCTCGAAAATGACTTTTGTGTTCCTCCCCGTTCAACAGGTACAGAGGAGGGCGGAATAATGCAGAAAATGGCATAGTGTCCTAACGAAGTAAGGGTCCCTTGGGTGCCCCAACACGCCTGCATCTGAGCGCCAAGTCCAAAATGCATTTTTCTCAACATTTTTGGACAGCAGGGGTCATCACGTCTGACACCTTCCCAAACCAATGTGACAATTTCACTTACCTGTTCATTATGGGAAGGAGAGGAATTCTTTGGGCTATCTAACAAAGGAGATGTACCAATGTGAGTATTACTTTCCATCCCCAGGGTTATTATTGTGTTGTTTCTAGCCGATTTCATATGTGGCCCCACCATCACCAGAGCCAAATGGCACTAGGAAATGCAAGAAAAATACGTTCAATGGTCCCCGGTTCCCGTTGAGGCAAGCAGATTTACAGAGTTTGCACCAAGGTTCTGCTAACACTTTTTTTCCTCGAGAGGATATGTTTATCAACCAATCATTAGTGGGAAGACAACGGTGTTCAAGTTGCCACTGTAGAGAGGCAATCTTGGATGGTTTTGCTCTTACTGCTTTGAACCAAAGAACTTGCCTCAAGTCTTCCTTACTTATATTTAATTGCGACATCCATCTCATTGAAACTCTATCTTTTAGGTTGATTTTGGTTTGAGCATTCGATAGGTTGATTTGACAGATAGGGTATGTAGTGACCGAGTGTAGTCTCTCCCTTTCTTATTATGTGCGCCCCATGTCCAACATGTTGGATCCAATGAAAGATTCGATATCTCTGATGATGAGGATAATACCTCAGACAATAATCATTCGACAATGTCGTCACATCGGTGCATACACATCACATCCAGGAGTAAAAGAGGAGGGGAGAAAAGAAGAGAAAGCAGAGGAAGGAGAGGAAAACGAAATAGGAGAGAGTCAAAGAGGCACCTACATGATAAGTCGTCAAAAAAATGTCATTATTACCCAGACGCGATAACAACCATTTCGAAACTCGTAAGAACTGAAGCTATGGCTGTGACAATCGGCGTGCGACCCGACATGTTTCAACTAGTCGCCGTACCGACTTCATTATGGGTCTTGTGTCGCTTGACTGACTTTGTGCACAAGACCTATCTAAAATAAGAATCGCAAAGTGATCATCCGATAAACAATACTCGTCAACACCACCCCGCGTCTGGGCGTTTCGTCAAGATCTTATCCAAAATACTTAGGCCTACCTATATTAAGCCTACACATACCACGCCCATCCCGTTCGATCCCTCAGAAACCAGGCCTATTCCGACCCTTGTTACCATGAATACAACGCCCCAAACATTTTTGCCGACCCCTTAAAATTTTTGAGGCTGCCAAAAAAGGTTACCTAGAAAGCCGAGTTTAACTGTTCTACTTTACTACATGAAGTAGAGTATTATAGAAGCAGATGTATTCGACCGGGATGTCCATTTTACTTTCTGTCGACATTTTCGAGAGACAAAACTTGCCACACCTGTCCTATGCTGAAGTGGAGCAGAAAAAACTGCGAACAAAATAAACAAAAAAACAAGTAGAAAAAATAAATAAAACGGGATTCCCCTCTCTTATCAGCACTTCTGAGAGTCGGATCTCGTAGCCATTACACATGTCCCACGCTCGAAAAACAAAAAAAACAGCAGAGTAATAGAAAAATAGAAAAACTAAAAAATAAAAACATAAAGAGGTGATTTCCCTCACCATGCTTACCAACCCGTAAGAACCTTTACCCAAGTACCCCGAATTCCCCCACCTCTTGGAAAAATTTCTTAATGCCTTGTCAAAGATGCCATCTGGAAACCTCCTCCTCCTCATCTCCACCTTCAGTGTAAAAGAAAAACCCTTTCTATTCCTTCTTCCGTCCGTTTACATTCCTTCTTCCGTCGTCATTGCCCTTGCTCGATGAAAAACCGACGTAAGTACAACCATTTTTTGTTGCCTTGATGAGAAAGACTCATAGTCCTACAGGCTCTGTAGTAGCCTACCTTCCCCCAAAGCTAGTCTATGATTCTTGTGAGTAGTTATACATGCTATTTTACCCTCTTCATGTGCTACCATCAGGACACACCCAAGAAAGTCTCAAACGCAACCCTTACTTGTTTTTTTGAAAACCAAGTTCCCATCATAGGACCATTCAAACATTTTGACAATCTCTAGCGCTTTTAACCTGATTTCCTCATTCCCTTTGCTGTATTTTACAAAAATAGAAACGCCATCCACCATCCTCATATCATACACTAAATTTTGATCAATTCCCAACGACGTTAAAGAGGTGATTTCACTGTAAACGCATAGCAGGCAGACCAATGCTGGGTTCAATGAGTTGCCCATTGCGATACCCACCACCTAACGCAGCAACACGTTCGATGCGCTAATAAAAATATTTCGCAGATCAACGCCAAGAAAACTCATAAAAGTCTCGAAAGAGCACTCCAACCATCCTTCTTGCTTATTTCCGAATCTAATTTCCGTCCCCTTTCCCCTCTTTTTTACCATCATTCCCCTTGTGCCCTCGCTAAACCAGAAATCACTAATCGACCTAACTGCCTCCATAACAAACTATGCGGTAAGTTGCAAAACATTTCCTTCACATCAAAGTTTGGCCATACAATTCCTTATTTCTCCCTCGCGTCCTTAGCGATACTCTGAACCTCATCGGCCAAATTGAGAGTACTTTTGAGGTTGAAATTTTTTCGGTGCAGACTCCATACCATCCGGTCCACCATCGTCGACACCCGCTTGTCGGCAACAACCACATGTTCCAAGTGAGATGGATAGATCAGTCGCCAACAATACAGATCCTTGTATTTTGGGACCTCGTAAGCTTTACCGATCTCTCCTTTATCATCCCAAACACCTAGCCGCTGAAAACCTTTCACCTTGTATTCAACCTCCATTTCTCGAACGACGACCTATCTCCTTCTTGTCACGTCTGATGAAACCCGTATTATCTGTGAGTAACTTCCTCATACCCCCATCACATGCGATCGGGCAACAGACTAGCGCATCCCCAAGGTTGTGGTCTATCGAACAACACACCATTTCCCTAAATCTATCATTCCCTTCATACGTCCATCGTTCCTCTTTAAAGTGCAACAATTCAGACATCTCCACCGAATTGCTGGACACGAAGTGGTGGCCAAAACTGCTTCAAAATGTATCCTATTTAGAATCTCAAAAGAACCTAGCCTTATTATATGGTCAATATCAGTATACTTTAGTTAATCACATGGATATAAAAAAAGTACTACTTTAGAAAAAATCTTTACATGTTAGCAATTTTTTGTTTATATGTTGTACCTAACTCACTCTTTATGTGGTTATTTGAATCAATTAACTTAGATTCATTGACTTCATTCCCAACTTTGCCCTCTTCATCCTTCAACATGCATTCCCCAAGGGTTCTGACAACATCCTTCCCCCATTTCACTGTCGGTAGCCTACTTTCTTCGAAAGATTTCTCAATCTGCTTACGCAAATCTCCCACCACAATACAATTATTTAGGCAGAGAATATTTTTTGACTTTCTTAGACAGCTCGACACCCCTTCAATATCTGTCAACCTGACATGCGTATGACCCTTTACTTTTGACAGCCATTCACATGCCCCTGCACATGTACAGGTAAACCCATATTTCCTCGCTTCCGTAGGAGAATTATGCAACGCATCATCCACTCTTCTATTTTTCGTCTATACAACCCTCATGCAATTTATTAACATGTCATTCCATACGTCCGCCACATCCAAACCTAACACCAATGTTGCACACACCTGCCTGATCCTAGCCTTGCTGACACCATCGTCGTACTTCACACGAACCACCCGCCTTTGTCAGACATTAACACCAAATTGTCGTCTCACCACTCCTGACAGTATTACCGGCAATTTGAAATTTGGTTATTTTTTAACGAAATCTCTGAATGGTGCCAAAGGCACAAACCAACCAGTCAAAATATTTCTTACTCATCTTACTTTTACTTACATGGTTATGCATCAATTGCGCTAGAGGTTTCTTCAGTTTCTCCATACGTGAACAAAACCCCGTTATTGCTTCAAAAAACACAGGTACATCTTTTTTGAACCAGCCCTTTGCATCTCGCAGGTTCGCTCTTCCACAGACCGAGGAGACCATAGAGCCACCATAACACCTTTTTACCAACTTCCACCCGCCAACCCAAATATCACCTCCCCAACACTGCATCAACACCGATCTCACTTTCTTCCTCCTACAAGAATCCAAAATATCTTTAAGTTTGACCGGTGTCTGACCCGTAGATGCTTGGAAATATAGATGTGTTCGTTCAACGCTACACACTACACCTTTACCTTCCCGATTCCTTCTTTTTCTAAGTCTCTCCCTCTTCCTTGGTCTTCTTCTTCTTGTCCTCCCCCTCGTACTCTTCGTGTTCAATGAAGCGTTACTAAACCGAATCAACATCTTCTTTACCTCCAAGAGGTCCCCCTCCTCGCATTTGCACAGCGGCAGCGGAACGTATCCCTCGATTCTCACCTTCCTCAACCATTGGTATAGTTTATGGTTCCTTGCATTTGCTAACCCTTTCCTTCCTCTTTCGACCCTACTGATATGCTCCGACCAACGCACATCCAACGCTCTTGTGGTGAAGCCTACGTATAAATCCTTATACCAAGGCGAAATGATCACATAAACCAATGGCCCGTCTGATTTGAACAGGTCCTTCTGACCCAAAATGTTCGTTAAGTAACCTCAAAACTTTTGCCCCCACGATAGTGCTCGCGAAAAAATTATCAGAATAACCAACAATTGAAGCATCCTACAAAGTGTCGGGTTACATGGACTAAAGGCACGTTCAGCGCTGCTAACTTTCATAGTGTCGCATCCGAGTACTGTCATTAACAGTCCGATTGCACCTCATGCACCGCTGCGACATCTTCACTAGTTTCATCCTTTCTACTTCCTCCTGATCCGATTTCTCCCTTGTCAGATGCATCCTTGCTGAGTCAAAACTACCAAACGCATCGTTCACCCGTCGCTCCATGATCTCATCCACCGTAATGTCAATCTTCTTATACGTAAGTCCCATCCTTTCGCATATCTCCGTCAATTGTGCTTTGTTTTTTTTACCCAATCCCTTCTTCTGCTCCTTGATAAATTGACATCGATTGTTAACTTTCTTCATATTGCTTGAAGTTATTCCAGGCGCCGCTTTACACTTGCTCTTCTTTATGCCTTGCTCACTCTTCTTTCCTGCGACCTGCTCTAAATGTAAACGGAGATTGCTCACCGGGGTTCCGGCTACCTTGCCCATGTTGACCAGACGTTCATCCCTTTCCTTTTGCTTTATCGCTTCCGCCAAGGCATCCACCTTTATCTTCTTGAGGATATCGACTTCATCCAAAGTAGCTTGATATTTGGCCCGCTGATTTTTTAGTTCTCTCATGCTGCTGGTTCCACCTAAAGGCTCCAATACAATTCTAGCTCTCGTCCGCCCTTGGCTTCCTCCAGTCGTGGTCGTTCCTTGTAGCGCAACCTGTCCTCGTTTGTTACCCGGTCGTAAGGCTTCTCCTTTCCAGATCAGCACTTCCTGATCGGCCCTCTCCGTTCGCTTCCTTAACTGCTCATTTTCCAGAGCTAGCAATTCCAGCCTTTTTTCAAGTCCACTCCTTCCCAACGCTGCCTCTCGTTGAAACTCGTCCATCTCGCGCCTCAATCTTGCAGCCTCGTCACTAACCCCTATCGTTGTCTCCGTAGTTTCTAAGCACCTCTGCTGACAGTAGATACCCCTGGACCATAGATCCAGGCCGACCAGCGTCCTTAACAAGTCTCCCTCCCATCTACGTGAATCCTCCAGCTGCCTTTGTTCTCCTTCCGTCCCTCTCCACAACACAGTCTTTCCTTGACTTGTTGATGCCGCGTGCAGTTGTTCCACTTGCCTCTTCAACTTGTCAATCTCGCTCCCTTCCTCCTTCTTCTTTCCGAAGTACACCTCATACATGTTTTTGAACCTAGTCTCCATTTGAGCTCCTATAGCCTCTTCCAGATCCTTTCGTTCTTTCTCTCGCGTGGCCTTACCCTCTTCTTCCTCACGCTTCCTATTTTTTTGTTCCTCCTTTTCCTGCTGCCATCGATCTCGTGTGTCCAGCCTTCCCACAATCTCTTCAATCTTATCAACCCTCTCTCCCATCCTCGGGTGACAATTATTCGACCTCGGGGCTTGATACTGGGTCGGCTGGACCTGTCCTCTTGTGCTCGGCGGCACCGGTAGTGCCAGTAATGGTTGCGCTGGCTGCACATTAACCATCGCCCCTGAATAATTGTTCACTCCTCCAACATGCGGACGATTAGGACATTCCCTTCGAATGTGCCCAACCATACCACATCCGTAACACGTTGGCACGAAACCCGACGTTCTGACCTACACGAGACGAAAACAGCAAGAAAAACAATAAAAGAGGAAACAGGAGAGGAAGACAGAGAAAGAGAGGAGAGGAGATGGATGAAAGCACCAATTTCAACGAATTGCGTTAGCATTCGAAACTAACGTAGCCACACTAAACGTAGTACTATCTCTACGTAGGTTACCATGACAAATGATGAGGGTAATACCTCGAACAATAATCATTCCATAACGTCGTCACATCGGTGCATACACATCACATCCAGGAATAAAAGGGGAGGGGAGAAAAAAAAGAGGAAGGAGAAGAAGGAGAGGAAAAAGAAGTAGGAGAGAGACAAAGAGACACCCGCACGATAAGTCATCAAAAAATATGTCGTTATTACCCAGACGTGACAACAGCCATTTCGAAACTCGTAAGAACTGAAGCTATGGCTGTGACAATCGGCATGCGACCCTACATGTTCCAGCCGGTCGCCGTACCGGATTCATCAGGGGTCTTGTGTCGCTTGACTGACTTCCTGCACAAGACCTATCTTAAATAAGAATCGCAAAGCGACCATCCGAGAAACAGTACTCGTCAACACCAACCCGCGTCCGGGCATTTCGTCAATATCCTGTCCGAGACACTCAGGCCTACCTATACTAAGCCTACACATACCCCTCCCATCCCGTCCGATCCTTCAGAAACTGGGCCTATTCCGACCCCTGTTACCATAAACACAGCGCCCCAATCGTTTTTGCCGACCCCTCAGAAATTCTGAGGCTACCAAAAAAGGTTACCGAGAAAGCCGGGCCCAATTCCAGTCCTGTGTACATGTTCTACTTTACTACAAAAAGTAGAGTATTATAGAAGCAGATGTATTTGACCGGTATGTCCATTTTACTTCCTGTCTACACTTCCGAGAGACAGAACTTGCCACACCTGTCCTACGCTGAAGTGGAGCAGAAAAAACTGCGAACAAAGCAAACGAAAAAAACAAATAGAAAAAAGAAAATAGAAAAAAATAAAATAAAACGGGATTCCCTCTGATGATGATCTAAAGGCCAACCGCGATGAGGAATCAATCCTTCTGAAACACCCTGCTCCTAAATATTTGGTTTTTCGGCCCCCATTCTATCTTGTTTTCCGGGTGATGGGTCACTAGATTCGGCAGGTCTCAAACTCATGATGTGTTCATCGACAGTTGCACTCGCTGACTATTCACCCACGTGGGCTGGGTACGCTGCTTATACCACCAGTATGCCCAAGAGTCTTTTTTCCAATGCCAATCTTCACCATGCGACGAGTTTTGGCAAGCCGCCATGGGCACGAAATTGAGTCTTTTTGCCTGGTGCCACCGGCCTCTTCTATTTGGTGGACCAAGCCCCGAAGGACACGTTAACTTGCTGCACTGGAACAAAAGGAGATGGGTCTGTTACTGTTATCCCCTAACTGTTTTAATGTTAGAGTTGGCGGCATGTGGTAGATGGACTACCCCTGCATGCCAGTGCATGGGATTCGTAAATGATTTCGTTTATCGCTTGGATCAGAGTAGCCCACCAATAGACCGGACCTATCTGAGGAGGGTGCCACCGGGGGATGCTCGTACCAACCCCTGCAGCACCACTGCCGGATGTCATATATATATATATATAATATAATAATAATAATAATGATAATAATAAACAGTATTTAACACAGATTAGTATGCACCAATTAGGTGTAGATAGCAGAGTGTTTATTCAGCAGGGGTCAGTTATATGTGTTTCCTGAGGGTCAAGCGCGGAACAAATTCTGAGTTGTTTTTCCGGGGTACGAGGGACCCAGTTTCCAGCATGTGCTGCCCCCCATTGACAGATTCAGGGTCATCTTCCAGGAAGGTGCTTCATCCCGGGGTCGCTCTTCTCAACTCAGTCTTCCTAAGGATGTTGTTCTGAAAAAAGGACAAAGGAACGAAAGAAGCAGGGAAAGGTACTGGTCCTTTAACCAACCCCAAAAAGCGCCCGCCTCCACTCCACTCTTCTCCCACATCAAAAGGTCATTGTTGGTTATACCTATATGATTACCACCACCCCATCTGCAGCATTTAGCAAATGTACTAATGTAGTGCACAACACAGTTTTCTTTTCACTTTTTTTCTGACAGACATGTGGACCTATTGCTGCTTTGCTGACAAACATCAGAGGAGGGATAACCAGGAGCCATTCATCCTTTTTTCGGATACCCGACCTCCCAGCTGTGGCCACACTTGGGCCTCACTCCACTACTCACCAAATGTGCAAAATGAGAGCAAATCTTCCGCTACAACGTGGACAGATACATGGCCATATTTTTCTTTTTTTTGTCTTTTCTGCCTGTGGTGAGTAGTGGAGGGAGGCCAATTGCATGGCACTTTCTTTACCTGAGAAAGGACAAGGAAAGGGAGAACCCAAAACGGAAAAAGACGTTTGGAATTTCTATTCCCTTACAACGTAAAAAAAAAAAAAAAAAGAGAGGAGGGCAAGGAAAAAGGAAATCAGCAACGGTTCGAAATGAGATGTTCTTTGACACAAAGAGCCACAGAAACAAAAAAAAAAAGGAAAAAAAAAAAAGAAAAAAAAAGAGCCAAGTGTGTGCTACAAAGATAGGTAGGGAAATGAGGGAAAAAAAGAAGGAAAAAAAGACAGGTAGATGGCTGCAGTGCAACTGCTATGCTGTGTTTCAAAGACCCAAATGTGCTACAAGGATAGGTAGATGCCAACAACAGCAACAACAACAAAAAAAAAAAAAAAAAGAAAAAAAAAAAGAAGAAGAAGAGAAAAGAGGATAGGTACAGGTAGATGGCTGCAGTGCACTGCTATGCTGTGCGGCGTCAGGTGGGTCTGTAGCCTACCTGGTGGGCACTGTGGATGTAATATGTGGGCTGAGGAGGGGCCTTGAAGACAGCTGTGCATAACCAGCACGGCCCCAGCACGGCCCCAGCTGGAACGAATACCCAGGAATGGGGAGAGAAAAAGATCCGGAGGATCTTAACAGAGAAGCCATAATGTCATCATCATTATTGGCTTCAATGTGTCTCTTCTGGACAAGTTTCTATAGGCACCTTGAAATTCAAAATTTCAGCGCAGATAGAGGGCGTACATAAGGACTATTCAAAAAATAATAATAAATAAAAAAAGCAATAGTGCA